ATGATTGTCCAGGTAACAGCGGTTCCCGAAAGCCAGAATCACGAAGACGTTGAATCCCTGGGATGGATTGATATTCCCGGATATTACTGAATTCAATAATTGCCAAGTTCTTGAAAGGCTAAATCCATCTTCGGAAAGAAGTTCAATATCGACGTGCCTTTTCCTTTAATTAAACTTGCTTTCGATCTCGATGATCGTTTTCTTGCTTTCTTAAACAAAAAGTTCCATTTTTCTATTGAAATTGATGGATATTTCCCACTCGAAGAGGAGAAAGAAAAATGTCCAACCAATTTCATATATTCTTTAGTAAAATTTAGAAAAGAATCTCAAACGAAATATTTAATGGATTAATAACTTTTATTTGAGGATCAAAGAATATTATAAATACTTCGATTTGTTCATACTTCATAGAACTATTGAGTTAAACCAACGAAATTATTGATCAAGTTAATTATTAAATTATTTCATTCGTCAATCTGTCAATTTTTTATCAAACTGATTAATGAGAATGTTAATATCAAAGAATGTAATTGCAAATTAAATGTTTCGTCTTAATATTGCGTATTAATAATTAACGTATTATCACTCAAAATATACTAAAGAAAAAAAAAAAAAGAAAAAATGTAAGATGTTGGAAATTTAGAGTGATCTTAATTTAAAAACCAGGGAATAGAATTGTATACGGTGTACGAAAATTATGCCGATATCTTAAAATAGTAGTCGTCAGAAATCAAAGTGGGAGGTCAGAAATAATTTCAAGACTGTGAGAATGGAAAAGCTAATTTTAAAGTTCCCAGCATCTCGAAATGAAACGACTCGACACGTGTGCGTGTATTTATCCATCTATTAGTGACATACACTCCTGCTGGAAGAGCTTAGGATAAACATTACATTTGTTTCAAAAAAAAGAGAGAAGTTATATAATAATATAAAATCAATAATATTGTGCATTGTGAAATATACGTGCAACCTAGAATTTTGTGTTTCATGTTAAAAATAAGAAGGAAACTTACAATTATAATAAAAGAACCTGCTATCACGTTGAGTGCTAGTCTAGGAAACGCGTAGCTTACTATTGCAAATTACTATTACTGTCGTATTTAGACTCCAATAGGAACGATTTTCGTACTTTTCGAATTTAAATAACGAAGACTCAACTTGTAGATTAAATAAATAAATATATATAAATACGAAATATATTTATAAGTACAAATCTGTGGCACTCG